TCGGGCCCTGGCCAGGAACCGTTGGCGCTACTATGCCATTGGTCGATCCCAGCAAGGGAATGGAGCGCTGGGATCCCCTCAACTTGTCAACAGGTGATGAAGAGAAGTTCGACCGCTACAGGGGCGCAGAGCTGAAACATGGTCGCGTGGCTATGTTGGCAGTGGTCGGTCTCATCGCCCAACACAGCTATCGCTTCCCATTCGTGTTGACAGGGGCTTTTGGGGAGTTGAAGGCATCATCTCTCACTGATGTGCCCAGTGGTTTTGGTGCTATCTTTGCAAGTCCGTCTGCAGAAGCCTTCGGGATCCTGTTTCTGATTTCTGGCTGGTTCGAGACTGTCTTTTGGACAGACAAAGGCCGGGCACCTGGGGACTTTGGGGACCCCGCCGGATTAAGGAAGAGGTCCATCTTCGAATACACAGATTTCGAAGCTGTCCGAACACTTGAACTGGAACATGGAAGGCTGGCTATGGTGGGCTTCATCGGAACCATGGCGGGAGAGTATGTCACTGGCTATGATGCTGTTGACCAATGGACTCATCTTACAGAAGCGCTCCGTGGGGCGACACGATGAGGCCCTGCGCAGGTATTGCATAATTAGTGGTGAGACTTTTATAGACTTTCCAGAAGCAAGGAAATGGCTTCCTGGAAAGACCTCATCTCACATTGTGCTATTGTGCTTAGCAAGGCTGAGATTTGTAGTTTTAGTGCAAGGCCACCAGCGCCAAGCATTGCCATGCGGCACAGTCAGACTTTTAAATTTACTGGTGGGCTTGGCTTAGGCATATGGTCGCATTGTGGCATCAGGATGTCCTGGGGCTATTTTATCAATTTCCTCTAGGTGACTGTTTGGAAATAGTGGATAGCTCTAGTCGTTACCTCCTTTGCCAGCTACAGGAATGCGCAACATCTTTTGCCGTGTGCTGGAGTCTCGTGTGCTTGCGCGGTGTATTGGTAGTTGAGCGTTTGGCGGTTTTGGTTGAAGAAGCTGTCTGCGATGACTCTGGCCAGGGCAGTGAGTGTACAGTGAGAGTGTTGGACCTGGACGTGTCTTGCCTTGCCTGCCTTATGCGAGTTGTGAGAGTCGAAACCCTAAGCTTAACAATGGCCACTGCGCGCGCGACAGGTGGAGCTGTTCTTTGACGACCCCCGCTTCATTCAGAACGAAGCACTGGTGTGGCGTCTTTCAGGGTTGCGGTCGTGGTTTGGGGTTTTAGTTTGGGGTTGAGGGTTTTGACTTTGGGGGTTTTGTGGTTGCAACCCAAAACGACCCTAACGGCTCAAGTGCTTGAGAAAAATCTTAACCCTCAAATAGGGCTTCAGATTCTGTTTTTAGGAACCCTACAACCCTAAATGTGTGGCTCAAGCGTTGGCTCAAACATTTAAACAAAAAATCGAAACATGTATCCAATCATATAGCAAAACATAGCACAAAAGCCGAGCCAACAAAAAACAACAACATCACAAATTCAAACACTTAAATAAAGCATCCACACTAAAATTAACGACCTTTCAATCTTTTAGACCTTTAATAGCTCGTGGCGCAAGTAACCGCGACCATTAATATCATGATGTTTTTGTCCCAAAACAGTTTTAATATCACCAATGGTATAAGAAAACTTATTCAATTGCTCACTCGTTCTTCGCCTAATTTATTTTTCTTCCTAAATATTCTAACGTTGTCCACACATAACGGGGTCATAGAAGCAATGGGAACGTTGACTCGTTTAGTGGATGCATAGCCGTGCTTTGACAGACGCGTGAGGGCCGAGTGCGCATGGTGCTTAACACATGTCCAGCCCAGAGCCTGCAGAACATGTGCATTGCGCACTCTACCTGTGATTTTCCAGTTTTCTGACGAGGTTTAAGGAGGGGGAATTTGTTGGTTTTGATCTGACTTATTATGGATCTAGTGACTTAATGCAAATGGCACGTGCCCAATTGTGACGTCCTGTGTGCTGAACTTCATGCGCCTGCCAAGTAGAAGCTGCAGTAGTGGCAGTAGTTAGAGGAACAATGCAAATCCGAATGGAAAGAACATGGACAGTGAAATGAAAACTGGGCTTATAGAGTTGGAGGGCTTTGTGTGTCTTTGATGTCAGCACCTGCCAGGAAAGAATGCCATTAATTGCGACGATTAGTTTTAGGCTTCACCCCCCCGAAAAAATTGTGGGGCTGTGAACGGTTCCGAGCAGACTCGGAGCTGCGAATGTATGCAGCAGAAAGGCTGCTTGCAGACGAATCTGTGCAAACTCGCTGAAAAGATGTCAGCACTGTCCTGAGTTGCTGTTAAGGAACTGAGCTTAAGTTACTGTTCAGGGAAGCCCTATTACTTACTATATATACCCGTCATGGTAATTTAATTTAAGTTCCTCAACAGCAACCCAGTGTTGGCACTAGCATCCGCTTGAAATGCCCATGCAGCAGGAAATCCGCAGTGCGGACCCTGCTTGGCTATTCCAACACTGGCGGAAGAGACGGGGACTCTGCTGAAGCGCTACAAGGCCCTAAGCCCTAAACTGCCTTGTTTCCAAGCATTCAAAGTTTTTCGAGAGGCTTTTGAGAGGAGATGGTTGCAATTTCAAACGATGGTGGTGACTATCGTTGTTATGATGGGGGGCATTACTGTGTTCAGTTGGAATATTTGTTCGGCTTGCACGTGCCGGTGTGCCAGGTTTGCCATTCTTGAGGTGGGTGTTGGGAATTGAAATGAGTCAATCGGGAAGCTCATTGGTTGCACTGGCTGAGTACGCAGACCATTTTAGTTGTTTCTATCTTATTTTCCACTATCCGTATATATAACCCCAAATTTACTACAGTCGTTTCCATTTTCTTTCCATTATTCCTATACAACCTCGAATCCTTGAAGGTGGAAGCCGAGTAATGAAAAATACTGAGAAGTCCCCCTGCAGACTGCGAGTTTCCAACCTTTCCTCAGGTGCGAAACGTTTTCGGAGTCTTGGCTGCATGAAGACCTTCCATGGGTAGTTTGTCAGTTGTTCCCCTTGTCGGGTATTGTTTGGTTACTGCCGTCCCCAGTAACAGCTTATGATAGGAGATATACGAAGGGCTGTATTATGTATTCATTATTCATGTTATAGTTACTGACCAACTGTTCCTGGGAGGGTGCAGTACCCAAGGAAATATAGGGGCCCAAATAATTACCAATATTATGGTTCCATATTCCTTGTATAGTTATAGTGTTACTAATTGGCCTGCGTGCGCTGAA